TCTCGAATTTACATCGTATAAAATATAACAAATTTAATAAAGCAATGCAATAAAGCAAATTTTTTTTTATATTTTCAATAGCTCTATCTATATCGTATTTTTCCATAATCTTTTTTGGACATATTTAATATTATATATTATTTCTAACATAACTTTACTTGACATATAACCACTATAATTATTAAAATTGTATTTTCGTTATGTAATATCTATGTTTTTTTGTTTATTATTATTAATTAGTTTTTCTCCAGTGAAATACGGTATCCACGACTGCTCTCCGATGAAAAGCTGCCGTTCGCAGTGGTAGTGTTTAAAAAACGTTATAAAACAGTAGGTAATAAAATCTCAAAGATTGCCATTTTCTTTTTCAAATGCTTAGCTTCGGTGATTTCTTCCTTTTTTTCAATTCAATACCTTTGAGAGCTTTTTGAAAATGAAAAAATGGAACTTTTATTGCCCTAATTGCTTGAATTCCTTCTGACCAACGTGTAAGGCACCGAATAATAAACTGTGATTTGGTCGATACGCTACATATAAGTAGAAAGATATCTATACTGAGACCTTAATGAATGTAGCTTAATTATTATGTTATTATTTTCGATTTGTATATTTTACATTTTACTTATTCGAATGCAACTTTTCTTTAAAATACGGTAATACCGTGGGGCTCTTTTAACTCTAGGCCCCAGGGTGGCGCACCGAACTGCCCGGTGATATGTCCGCCACTGGCGCAGATATGATAGACCCGATAAACCTTGCGTTGCTCAATATATTGTTAATAAAAAACATTGTATAGATATTAATAATTTAAAATTAATTAAACAAGTCTCGAATTACAGCAAATTAGATGCATATGAGAGCGTCAAAATAAATAAACGTAAAGATAGTGTGAACAGAGACAATGATCCAATTCTTTCCAGTTCTCTCTTCCTATTGCTCTAAGTTCTGTAATTAATTGTTACGCTCGGTTGGTTTGACTCGCTTGGCTAGTTTTGCCACGCGTACTCAGTGCCAACTGAATGTATATAAAACACGCTCACTTTGTAGATAAAACTTTAATTTTAATCATCTGCTGATGATGCTAACATGGTTAGCGAAACACGGGTCCATAGTAAAACTGTTTTGGTGTTTTGTGGTGACATAGCGGCCATTTTCGAACTTGAAAATTACTTTCAGCCATTTTTCTCGACTGATTTACTTATTACCATTTTTCCCAATTTTATAAGTAGTTTCGGAAATACAGCCAGTGTACATTCTTAGTTGGCCACCCGGTACATTAGTTATGGTTTATAAAAATTTAATAAATATTTGAAATTTGTCCTTCAAAAATCGATGCGCCAAAATCGACCAAACATTATAGAAAGTAGTAATTTATTTTTACGAAAATTCTTCTTTTTAAGGTTCGAAAACTCCGGTTTATTATCCGTAGTAAGCTCGCTTTCAAGCTGTCCATCGAAACATATTATGAAGTGCTGCGAAACTTATTACTCTCAAAAAAGTCGAAAGGAAAAGCTCACGTGGCGCGAGATAAGATGCCATATATAGGAGACGGTTTCTTTTCAGGCGCTAAAAAGAACATAAATCATTCTTGACAGGGTTCCTCAGCCAACGTACAATAATGATTTCTCGAGGAGATTATCTTTCTAATCGGTCAAATAGCGGATTGAGTCGTTCTGTGAAAGGCTTAGAAAATTGCTACTGAAACTGTGTTTAATTAATGGTTCTCGGTCGTGATTGATTATGCTATAAACAACGTGACATTTTGTTATGTAAACATTTACTGTATGTGCCGTAATGTTAGTAATCATTCAGTACTTGTAAAATTTAGGATACAGTCCTTGGATTGTCTTTACAAGAAGAAAAAAGACTTTTTTAATAGATTAGAGTTATTGAGTAATATATTAGAGTTATTGAGAAAAATACATTCTTCATACAAGTTTATTAATTGTCATTAATAAACAAACAAAGAATAAATACCAAATACTGACAACCAAAAATAAGCCAATTAAAAGAAAGTGCCAATTGATGCGATGCAGCTGACAATCGTCTAATTTTCTTTAAGTTGGTTATTTCGTATGCAACAAATATTCAAATAAAAATTAGAGAAAGTCCACAAATAGAGAACAGTCCACAGAGGTAACAAGGTGAATCTGTGAATTTAAACACTGTATTGGATACAATGCAAGCTATAATCCAACAACATGTCATTATAATGCAAATGATGAACGACCGTCAAAATCAAGAACGGGATGTTCTAAATTATAATATCATGCCTGGCTTTTCGAAATCCATTCCAATTTTCGACAGAATTCACTTGAAAAAAAGTAAATTTTGGATAGAGATTCTAGAAACATTTTCTCTCGTATAATTGACATATAGAGCCTTTTATTGTTAATTTAGAAAGAGGTGGCCAAAAAAGGCAAATAAGTTAGCTACAAATTTCTTAAATAAATCATAAAAATTGGCCAAAACGATTAAAATATATTGAACATTAAAATTTATCAAATGTTAAGTTGTCCGTTTTTCATGCCGGCCAGTATATGATATTAGAGCGTTAATACAAACTCTACTTTTGAATTTATATTATTTACACCCTGTATAGAAGTTTTGTTTTAAGTGAATGAATTTGAGACATTTGCCAAAATGATTCTAATTTATTCAAATTAATATGACTCAAGAAATATCTGTATTATTATTATTATTTATTTAAAAAAATAAACTGTTCCCATATTTTTCTTACGAAAAAGAAATTCGTTTCAACATCATATTTTTACTAATAAGATCGTCCAAATTGGCGACTCGCTCTTCTCAATAAATATAAAAAATATACCTACACTACACTTTTTCCATTTAGCAAATTACGTGTTCTTTTTTATTTCTTACTTACAGCAATACCGTAAAAAATAAAACGATAACGATCAGAAAGTTATTGGAACCGTATATAAAACTTCTTTATTCCCATTTCGTCATCCCACCATCATCACTCTAAATTCCTTTCTCTACTCTACCAACTTAAAGTTGTAAAAAGGATGGTTAATTTTTACTAAACAAAAGCTATTTTATGCACGTTTTATGTGGAATTATGGAAAGACTGATTACGGAAATGGTCGTAAAAGTTTTAGCGCTATCTCAAATGGGACAAAAGCGGATAAAGTTATTAGATACACTATAAAAGCGGTTTAGAGTGTAATTTTGATAGTTTACATATTGATAAATTGTTTGCGTGTTCGTTTTAATAAAAAGACGCCTAAAAGATTGTTTTCGGATATATATCAGAAAGATATACATATATCTAATCGACTTAGTGATTTCGTATAGTCTCTCGTTTATTTATGGAATTTCATCATTAAATTTATAATACACCAGCTTATGTTTGTCAAAAAATTACCAACTTTAAAGCATATGAAATTGTATTATTATTTAAACAGGTCAAATATTAGCTCCCCAGATACTTTTATGCGAAACTTGCATTAGACTTTTTTTAAGAGGCTGTACTTTTGTTTAGGATTTTCGTTTCATTTGGAATAATCATTTAAAAGTTATTTGCAAAAATCTACATCCAAATTGGCAAAATTTATAATACGGCCCAGAGAAAGCTACAATTAAAACACCAGCAAAAATGTGGTTGTGTCATTGTCAAATATGATGTTTTGCTTACAAAAATTTTCAGGTACCAAATAAAGTAATTTTGTATAAAATAATTAAGATATTCGCAACTTTTGAAAAAGTTGCGATGGTTAAACGGGCCGGGGTTTTGCTGGAAATATTATTTCCGCTGTGCTAGATTTGTTCGCCGCTCAGTCTCCGCAGAAAGCCTATACCGAATAAGTCAACAGTTTAAAGAATAAACTAGGCAGATGTTTGAAACTAAAGGCACGATATTAAGCACATAGAAATATGAAGACAATGAACATATAATATGGAGACAAAAATATTTGAACAGGAAGAAAACAACAATAACTTGAATATTCTTAATGTTGAAAAAAAGCAAAACATTGAACCAGGGTAATTAAGAGATTGACTTAGAAAAAGTAGAAATCAATGTTCAAAATATCAGTTTTAAATAAACCATTAAGAATATTTAAGGAACTGAAAACTAGGAAAAGTTTGTATTAGAATAGTGTGTTACATTTAGTAAATAAGTTAATAAGTTACATTTAGTAAATAAGGTTCTTTTTTATTTCGGACTTATAGCAATACCGTAAAAAATAAAACCAAAATGATCAGAAAGTTATTGGAACGTATATAAAACTTCTTTATTCCCGTTCCGTCATCCCATCATCATCACTCTAAATTCTTTCTTTTACTCTACCAACTTAAAGTTGTAAAAAGGGTGGTTAATTTTGACTAAACAAAAGCTATTTTATGCACGTTTTATGTGGAACTATGGAAAGACTGATTACGGAAAGGGACGTGAAAGTTTTAGCGTCATCTCAAATTGGGCAAAAGCGGATAAAGTTATTACTATTATATACACTATAAAAGAGGTTTAGAGTATAATTTTGATAGTTTACATATTGATAAATTGTTTGCATGCTCGTGTTAATAAAAAAGACGTCTGAAAGATTGTTTTCGGATATATATGTTTCTGATATAAATCGACTTAGTAATTCCGTAGAGTCTCATTTATTTACGAAATTTCATCATTAAATTTATACTACACCAGCTTATGTTTGTCAAAAAATTACCAACTTTAATGCATATTAAATTGTATTGTTACGTTTTTCGTCGGTTCCGTGTGGATAGAAAGTCACAATTTATTTAAACACTATTTATTTAACACTAATTAACAAAAACAATAACGATAAAAGACTTAAAGAACTATTTACAAACGATTTATAACTAAGAATATATTTTGAATTTTAGCGCGTCAACTGTACTCGTGTAAGAGCGAGTAAGAAAAATATAATATTTTTTTTTTGTTTATATAGCATAATATATGAATGGTGTTAATATCAATTTAATATTCAAACAACATAAACAAAAGAAGCTAAACTCACCTTAGATGCCGGGACACTTGTGTAATGCTCTCACTCTATGATCACGCAATTTGCAATCTATAAAAATAAAATATACTTGAGCATCACTGGAAAACGCACATGATCACATCACCATAATCGAGTATATAAAATAGTTAAATATTTTTGTTGTTCCGTAGCTAAGCGACAAGGCGTCTGTCCCACACACAAAAGGGATGGCCACAAAGCGACATAGCATAATGTTGTTGTTCCGCAGCTAAGCGACAAGGCGTCTGTCCCACACGCAAAAGGGATGGCCACAAAGCGACATAGCTTAATGTTGTTGTTCCGCAGCTAAGCGACAAGGCGTCTGTCCCACACGCAAAAGGGATGACCACAAAGCGACATAGCTTAATGTTGTTGTTCCGCAGCTAAGCGACAAGGCGTCTGTCCCACACGCAAAAGGGATGGCCACAAAGCGACATAGCTTAATGTTGTTGTTCCGCAGCTAAGCGACAAGGCGTCTGTCCCACACACAAAAGGGATGGCCACAAAGCGAAATAGCTTAATGTTGTTGTTCCGTAGCTAAGCGACAAGGCGTCTGTCCCACACGCAAAAGGGATGGCCACAAAGCGACATAGCTTAATGTTGTTGTTCCGTAGCTAAGCGACAAGGCGTCTGTCCCACACGCAAAAGGGATGGCCACAAAGCGACATAGCATAATGTTGTTGTTCCGCGCTAAGCGACAAGGCGTCTGTCCCACACACAAAAGGGATGGCCACAAAGCGACATAGCTTAATGTTATTGTTAAACAATTTGAGTCATACGTAAAAATATAAAACACTCCAAAATAATAATACTAAATACCATTTGATAATTTGCCAGGTATTATAAATCACACCCAATAAATATTACTAAAATACTCTTTGATAAATAGCTGTCCATTACGTATCTATAATAAATAACGCTAAAATACTCTTTGATAAACATCTATCTTTTAACTAAACTATATTAAAATGCCCTTTGATAAATACTTGTCTACTATAAAACACTCACACACAAAAGTAATACTAAAATACCCTTCTCTATCTACTACTAAAGCTCAGTGATAACTGTTAACTAAATAATATTAAACTACTCTCATACAAATCCCAGTAATGCCCGTGAGTGAACAAAATACACTCACCTGTATAATACTTCATTCCTTCTATTCAGTCCCAGAAATATTTTCCACACAATTATAATCTGAATTTAATATTTTTTGATAAATGGCGACGTCAGTCAAAATAATCATCAACAATGCAAACCGCATCGTCTAGGAAACGACATTGTATACATGCGGTCAAGAAAAGTCAATTAGAGATTCAAATAAAATATTATTTCTTAAAATAACACAATTTAATATAAACAATTTTTTAACGGAAAACAAGACTCTTACAGTCGGCCATCCTGCTAGAAGCTCGTCCCGAGCTTGCCTAATCGGATTTCATTAGGCTTACGCCTAATATCGCCTAATTATCAGATAAATACGCCTAAATATCGGATAATACTAAATCTCCATATTTACCATATCTTTCACTAGCAGCTGAATCTGAAACTTCTCCACATGTTTTCCAGTGTCTCACTGCCACCGTTCGTTTAGTTAACTTTACGTTTGTTTCAATAAGTGGACTCCATATCCACCATGTACCTATCATGTGACAATTCGGATTTTATTACCATTGGTCTGCTGCAGACGGAAAGTAATCTACGGCTGATATGACTGTTGGTGCTGTTCTCTTGATAAGCACCAAATCACCTATCTTGGGCTGTCTTGCTTCTTTACGAGTTTTATCAAAGTAAACTGTCTGTTTGTTTTCAGTCAGCTCAGTTATTCTGCTTGTTCTTTCTCTTTCAAGTAAAAGATTATCTACTACCCGAGGTATTCATGTAACTGCATAAACCAAGCACTAATCGGTTGTTTGTCTTTGATGATTTGATTTGATTTGATTAATTCCATTTAATATAAATACAATGGTACTTAGATTATAGGATCTCCACGAAGAATATATACAGAAAACAAGAACAATTTTAAGATATAAAATTTCACAAAGACAAATATAAAACAAATATACCTGAATTTATACACAAACAAAACAATTTCAATTCAAGAATTATTATTATATATCTGCCGATAAGCCTTGAGTTTTGAGGTCCCGGAAGAATTCGTTTAGCGTGTAGTAGCTCTTTGATATAGAGAATTTATTTAAATTAATTTTTTTTTGTTTAAGTTCAGAGGTTCAGAGTGATATCTATGGACGAATTCACTTGAAGTTTTTCCGGTGTTCTTATTTGGCATATTGTTTATGTTTATATTGTTGTGTCCTTTAGAGTTGAGATCATTTAGAGTTCCTTTAGAGTTGAGATCATCAGTGAATTGTGGATTGTGTAATTGTAATGTTCAATTTGACTATCAGCTCTACACGTTGCCACCGCTAATTTGTATGGATGTATCTGCTTGTTACAGCGTCCTTCGTCCGTTGTCCCAATATCTCCTGATAGTATAGGTTCCCTTCCGACATGGCTCGTCGAATCCTTGATTCCAGGAAGGTTTAGGTCAGCCTCGTTTACGTTTGTCTCTAGGTGTCTACTGCAATACTTGCTTTGGTATTCTGTCGTCAGCCATTCGTTGTACATACATGTGGCCGTACCACTGTAGTTGTTTTTTTTTGTATATCTTTACAATGTTACCATCCACCTTCATTTTTTTTTTCATGTATTCTCTCGTTCCTAATTCTGTTTAAACGAGAGATTCGGGCTGATCTTCACCAGAAGTCCATTTCGGTAGACAACAACTTCTTTTTGTGTTTTTTTTTTGCTTAACAGCCATACCCCAGAGTCATATAACATTGCGCTTTTCAGAATCGCGTTATAGATCAGTTTTTTTTTCTGTGATCCGAGATATTTTTAAATTAAAGCACCAACGCTACTTTCACAGGTATACTTGCTCGTTCTTGACAATAAGCACTGAACATTTTAGTGTGAAAACAGATCAGTGATAATCCGAATAGGTCGTTCAAATAAAGCAGATATGTCATCCAAAAATATCAACACTTTACTCGTCTTTGTTGTACTGACGGCTTTCATGAAAATAAACTTAGTAAAGGCATCTATGGCGTTAAATAATTATGATTCTTCTTTCTGCTTTTTGGATAAAGTCCGAAGTAATCAAGATAGACGGTATGCATTGGAAGTTCTTTCTTCTGTTGGTCGTTTTCTTTATTCAAGCACAGTCTACAGCACTTAATGTATTTCCCACATTAGCTTTCATCCGGGGAAACCAATAATACCTAGTAAATTTTTTAGCAGCTAAGTGGTTCAAATCATCGTGAGAAGTTCGAACTACATGAAATCACATTTTTTTGCAGAACTACCCATTGTAGTATTTTGGCTTTAGTTCTGTAGACTTGTCCTTCACGTATGGGATAGTCTTTGTAGATTCTCCTAGCATGTTCAGTATCCAGCAGTTCTGATAGTAACTTGCTCACTTGGTGATATTGGCACTGCATGACTGATCGCAAAGTTATTTTCTGTACATCATTTATTCCAGGAGAAGAACTAGCTTCAGACAAGAAAGTTCATCTTTCATTACACGAACGCTCCGTTGTCAGGTAAATATCCACCGATCTTTAAATGCCATCGATTTGTAGTTCTAAATTGGTAGTATCCAAAAATTCAACTCTGCCATCACGATGTCCTTTCAATACACAACATCGAGATATATGTATAGGTAAAGTCATAGGATTTGCTTCACTCTTCTATATAGTGTTACATGTACTTTCAAAATCTATGTATGCTTTCGACGTTCGGCCATATACTTTTACTACTCTGTAATATTTTTGACTGGTTTTGACTATCAGGTCGTACCGAATCTCTTCTGTCTCGTGACAAATTTTGAAAAATTTCCAAATTATTTCATATTCTGACTTTCTCTTGTTGTTTGAACTCTTTTCTAGCCACATTCATACGTCTTTTCTTTGGTCTATCTGCCATCAGTTAAGTCGTAGTTAAGTAATTAGGTTGTAGTCGAAGTAAGTTGGCCGCTATTTCTGTCGCCCATATAAATTAAATACATCACTAGTAACTGTAATTCTATTAATAATAATACTACATATTTATTTATCCACAAATAATGTTCTAATAACATAATTTGGGCATGTTAGATATCTTAAAGAAATACAAACTTATAATAAAAATATGTATAAACTGAGAATACACAAAAATATACTATACATAGACCTGAAAAGCTCAGATCCCACGTCTGAATTGTAAGAGCGAGTAAGAAAAATATAATATTTTTTTTTTGTTTATATAGCATAATATATGAATGGTGTTAATATCAATTTAATATTCAAACAACATAAACAAAAGAAGCTAAACTCACCTTAGATGCCGGGACACTTGTATAATGCTCTCACTCTATGATCACGCAATTTGCAATCTATAAAAATAAAATATACTTGAGCATCACTGGAAAACGCACATGATCACATCACCATAATCGGGCATATAAAATAGTTAAATATTTTTGTTGTTTCCTAGCTAAGCGACAAGGCGTCTATCCCACACGTAAAAAGGGATGGCCACAAAGCGACATAGCTTAATGTTGTTGTTCCGCAGCTAAGCGACAAGACGTCTGTCCCACGCACAAAAGGGATGGCCACAAAGCGACATAGCTTAATGTTGTTGTTCCGCAGCTAAGCGACAAGGCGTCTGTCCCACACACAAAAGGGATGGCCACAAAGCGACATAGCTTAATGTTGTTCTTCCGCAGCTAAGCGACAAGGCGTCTGTCCCACACACAAAAGGGATGGCCACAAAGCGACATAGCTTAATGTTGTTGTTCCGCAGCTAAGCGACAAGGCGTCTGTCCCACACGCAAAAGGGATGGCCACAAAACGACATAGCTTAATGTTGTTGTTCCGCAGCTAAGCGACAAGGCGTCTGTCCCACACACAAAAGGGATGGCCACAAAGCGACATAGCTTAATGTTGTTGTTCCGTAGCTAAGCGACAAGGCGTCTGTCCCACACGCAAAAGGGATGGCCACAAAGCGACATAGCTTAATGTTGTTGTTCCGCAGCTAAGCGACAAGGCGTCTGTCCCACACGCAAAAGGGATGGCCACAAAGCGACATAGCTTAATGTTGTTGTTCCGTAGCTAAGCGACAAGGCGTCTGTCCCACACGCAAAAGGGATGGCCACAAAGCGACATAGCATAATGTTGTTGTTCCGCAGCTAAGCGACAAGGCGTCTGTCCCACACGCAAAAGGGATGGCCACAAAGCGACATAGCTTATTATTGTTGTTAAACAATTTGGGTCATACGTAAAAATATAAAACACTCCAAAATAATAATACTAAATACCATTTGATAATTTGCCAGGTATTATAAATCACACCCAATAAATATTACTAAAATAATCTTTGATAAATAGCTGTCCATTACGTATCTATAATAAATAACGCTAAAACACTCTTTGATAATCATCTATCTTTTAACTAAACTATATTAAAATGCCCTTTGATAAATACTTGTCTACTATAAAACACACACACACACAAAAGTAATACTAAAATACCCTTCTCTATCTACTACTAAAGCTCAACAACTGTTAACTAAATAATATTAAACTACTCTCATACAAATCCCAGTAATGCCCATGAGTGAACAAAATACACTCACCTGTATAATACTTCATTCCTTCTATTCAGTCCCAGAAATATTTTCCACACAATTATAATCTGAATTTAATATTTTTTGATAAATGGCGACGTCAGTCAAAATAATCATCAACAATGCAAACCGCATCGTCTAGGAAACGACATTGTATACATGCGGTCAAGAAAAGTAAATTAGAGATTCAAATAAAATATTATTTCTTAAAATAACACAATTTAATATAAACAATTTTTAACGGAAAACAAGACTCTTACACTCGTCTATTTATAACTGCCCCCTTTAGGCCACAGCCACCGGTTTTTATACCCACAGCTAAAGATTTCTAGAATAATCCATAGATCGTTAGGTGCATAGAGAAGGTTTCGATTGTTCTCGTAGGTACTAGTCCATTCCAGTGGAACTCGATTTTTCTCGAACGTCCGAATGAATCATTACGGTGTCTATTCTTTAATGCGATGTGAAGGTCATCTGAGGGCGGGATATAAGTTAGGTTAGGTCGAGTCCACACGGGTCCGCAACAGTATTAGTATTTGATAAGGACAAATATTAGCTCCCCAGATAATTTTATGCGAAACTCATATTAAACTTTTTTGAAGAGGCGTTAGAGCTGTACTTTGGTCTAACTTTGTCGTTTCATTCGGAATGGCCATTTAAAGGTTATTTGGAGAAATCTACCTTCAAATTAGTAAAATTTATAATACGGCCCAAAGAAGGCTACAATAATACCAGCAAAAATGTGATTGTGTCATTGTCAAATTCGATGTCACATTCATAGATAAGATACTATAATATAATAAATAGATAGGAAACTCAATACATTTCGTCCGGACCGAGCGGTGGCGCCATCTCGTGGGTCTAGTAACGAAATAAAACATAAATCTAAAATGGATGGTTTCAATTTTTTTCAGATTTTTTCATTTCTTCAAGTAAATTGATTCAAGAAAGAACCAATTTACTCGAATAAATG